GTTGGACACACAGTTCCAAGTGGCGTCAACAGAAATGCATGTTTTGTTGTTGACACATCATCAAGATATGTTGGCCASTTGAARAATGTGTTAGCTGATGATCTTGGAGCATGGCATCCTACTGGCACCAAACAGCTCTATTATCAAGGACYGTMAAAAAGGCATCSAACRAAAAAAATAAGCGAAATGGAATACCAAACATCTTCAAATGGAYGAGCCTACCGCTGTACAAGAAATTTCTTTCGCAACAAGTCATCGCCAGATTTACAAAGGATTGTTATTTATTTAACAGGTTAGTAAACATAATATGCCATAGTAATTAATCCACCCCTTCCCCTCCCCMCTTCCCCTTTCCGACCTCTTTTTCTTCCCGCGCTAAGCAGAGTACAGGCCTCCCCTGTCTTTCCCTTACAAATCTAGAATAACAACAAAATTAATCAAGTGTCTAAMTGTTTTAGGGTCGAATGGCAGCAATCACAATTTAGTTTTTGTCCAATATATTTTTGAMAAAGACGAACATGAAATAGAAGTAAAACCCCATGGTAATTCTAAAGGAAGAAGCAAAGAGTATTATCGTACATCTTACACCRCAATGGAGAAACTGAAAAAATTAGCCCAAAAAAATACACCTAAAACAGCATTTTATGAGAGCATCGAGGAAGTGGGAGGAATAAGCGACATCCCGAATGCCGCAAGTCATGCACGGAACTTTCAGCAAATAAAAAATATCAAAACAATAAAAGAAAAACCTGCCGATGATGTTTTAGAACTGGTGGAGATGTTGAAGGAGGGTGAACGGGATCCTAAGAAAGCATTTGTACGTAAGGTAGATTCAGCACGGGATCCCACTGTTGTTCTTACTACTGATCAACAGTTAAATGACATCAGTCGGTTTTGCACAAATCCCGCTAAATTCAGCGTATTGGGARTTGACCCCACTTTCAATTTYGGAAAATACTACGTTACACTAACAACGTATAGACATCTTCTCTTGTGCAATAAGCGCGGTGAACACCCTGTAAGAATTGGGCCTACGCTGGTCCACCATAGAAAAGAGAGTGCGAGTTACTATGAGTTAACAGCATCKATGGTGAAGTTAAACAAGAACACGCAAAATGTCCTTGTGTATGGCACAGACGGAGAAAAGGCCTTGATTGAAGGTTTTGGAAGACCACTCCCTTTCGCACAGCATCTCCAATGTGACATACACATGAAGGATAATATAAAGTCAAAGCTTACCGAAATGGGAATACGTGGTAAAGCTGCTGATATCATGTTTACGGATATCTTTGGTGCCGATATTGGCCATAATAGGGTTCCCGGAGTTATTGACTCTAAAAATGAGACAGATTTTGACAACAACAAAAAAAACCTGAAAGATAAATGGGTTTCTCTCCACAATCAAGGTGAGCGTTTCTTTGAGTACTTTGAAAAAAACAAATCACAGATTGTGAAGAAAACCATGATGCCTGAAATACGGGCTATGGCAGGACTTGGTTGGCCTCCTGCGGTGTACAACCAAAATGCAAATGAGTGCATGAACTCTATTTTGCAGYGAGAGAAATCTTTTACTGGAAAAAAAAGCTTACAATTTCTGAGTTCTCTCGCCTTTTAGAGAAGGTCATTCAACGACAAAGGACTGAGGAAGACCTAGCCCTAATTGGTATAGGAGAGTTAAAATTGGACGAGAGCTATGAAAGCTCTGGAATAAAAGAAACGGTGTTTTTCAGAAAAACCAAAGTGCAGCAAGAAGCGGCTTTAGCCAAATTTAGAACACTTGCTGTTAAGAACACTGATGTTATTACGCCCGATCAGCCAGATACAAATCATAAATTAAGTGTTCCCATAGAAGACAGTGGCATAATTCGCGTTCCTTTTGCAGTGCTAAAGACAATGTATTCAGATGCCTTGACAATAATCGAAAAACATTCAGTTATCACTGACCCCGGCACGGGAGACAACCCTCCTCGATATGTGGCAAATGATGTGCCTAACGCCGCCGCATATGTGGTAACAATGAACAATTCACGACAGGGGAAGTACTATAAGTGCAGTAGAACTTGTCTCCGCTATGTCACATATGATATCTGTGCACATACAATAGCTGTTGCAGAAATCGATGGGTCATTGCTAAACTTCATGCGTCTGTATCGGGCATCAAACCAGGGACCACCTAGGTTGGATGCCTTGATGCAGCTCGATCTACCCAATGGTCGTGGCAGCAAAAAAAACAAAGCAACTCAGCGACGTAAGGGAGCATCCAACAAAAAGAAAAAGACAGTTGTAGAGGATTACGCTGAATCAGATTTTGGGTCGTCAACAGAAGGCCCTTCGAAAGCGCCAACCACAACAACGACAGAAGCAACAACGGTACAAACAATTATGAGGGTGACAATAAAAATAATGCAAATAACAAATTAATAATAACAATAATAATAATAAAAGTTATAGTAATAAAATGATAATAATAATAATAATAATTATTATTATTATTATTTTTTAATAATTTAATTTAAATTTAATTTTTAATTTTTTTATAATTTTAATTAATATCATATAATAATTCATAATAATAACAATGTTATTATTATGTACAAGGATGAAAATATAGATGTTATGAAATTAAAACATTGAAAAACGTTTTCGACTATGAGTCATCTTCAGTTGTTAACAATAGTAATTCATAAAAAAATAATAATAATCTTTAATTGAAATAATTGATAACAATAATAATATTCATTCGACCTTAACAAATATCTTATGTTTAATTTCATCAATTACTTTAAAATTGTTTTCATTAAATACTTTATTACTCTTTTTTTTTCTTTTATAGGCTATAAATATCAAAGCCACGTGCACTGGTGTACCAGAAGGCACTTTTCACTTGAGACTTTTGAAGAAGTGCTCTGCCTTAGTAAGAAAGTGTTACGGTTGTCAAAACATGTTGAAACTTAGGCAGGGTGACCAGTTTTTTATTCCAGACCCCCCGCACGATATGACCATTCTTTCATGTATGCGATGCACTTACTGGCAGGATGGCGAGCAGAAAGTTGGATCACCGAGTAATGTATACTTTCATTGCAACGCTAAGCGTGTAAAAAGGGCTCAGCCATCATTTCTACCTTTCTTGGTAGTAATTCTACAAGATGTTAAAAATGAATTGCTACCAATTCATAAGCAGTATTTAAGATCTGACAGAGTTAAACATTTTGCCCATGTGAAATCAGCAAATCAGTAAAAGTTGGTTTCAAAAACTTAACTGTCTACTAAAAACAATTTTCAAAAACGTACCACATTTTGCTACTTTGAACCTCGACCTTAGATTATTTATGTGAAGTATATGACATCCTAACACATAAAACTTGGTTTATACTACATTCAAATGCATTATTGTAGCAATGATTGTAATAAAAAGTACATATAGATTATAGATTTGCACTAAAAAAAGGATTGCGTTAAGTTGCTATCACGTCCATTATATCAGGTGATGACGGAAAGACTCTTGAAATTACCCCGGTATGTATTGTTATCAGCCAAGAAAATAAAAAGGTTATTTAAACTGAAAAGGCAGTACAATACATCACTGCAGTCATACAGCAATATCAGTGAAGGATACCAGTTTAAATTTCTTTTATTCTTTATTATTTTATTCTTATCAAAAATATCATATAGCTAAAAACAGCACTTTATGAGTCCAAGGGTCCAAGATTCCAAGGGTCCAAGGGTCCAGTCCATGTTTTACCCTATGCCTTAACGTGAGTCGTCTTATCGCCTACGGATAACTTACAACAAAAAAACTGGCATTGAATTTCAGTTATGAAGTCATGGAAATTATATCTCTTAGACCATTTAGACTTCCGCTTATCACTTCACTCTATTGTCACAGTTGTTGTTCTGAACTTTGCCATGCTGCGAAAATGATCATCAACTAAATATAACTCACTATAACTTTAATTAGCTTTTTAATATGTAAGTTAATCAAATCTACAAACACATGAAAATCAGTAAGTATTTCTTATCAAGTATTTCTACTTTATAAAAGCTTTGCAATACCTGATGAATATATCATTAAAATGTGTGGTATTGTTGAATCGCATGATTTAATGCATTGGTAATCATGCTAAATAGCAATTTATTTAYCAAATAGATCCAATTCTTGTAGTGTCTGTACTCTAATGGATACACAGACAATAGGSTTTCCAGGATTTTACAGTGAAGATGCCTAACTCTAATGATTATGAAAGAGTCTGGATGAGTCTGAAAGAGTCTGGATATCTGTCTTGGATGATTGCCAAAGAGTTCATGATATAAATTGTCTTTTACTTATACTGAACTCACTAAGTACAATTTTTATTTTAGATTTTTGAAACCTAGGAAAAAGGATTCGCTAGCCACCCCCCTGGTTCTGCCCTTCACAAATGATTTCAAAATTATACTAGAAAACAAAAAAGTACTTTTCTAATCACATTTTGACGTCTATTTAGRGTACAGATTCACAGAAAAATGGAATCTATCTGTTTTATGCAATATTATCGTATAACTTTTTGTGAGTGGTGTGAAATGAGTAAAAATAATACTATCAACAACATTATCACAGTATTTTCATTTGACATATCACTTTATCTGTATTTAAATGTCTACTCATTTRTACTTTGATTACCTTATTATTTTCCCTTTTTTCAGGATGAATACATGTGCTATGTTGCAAGAGTTTTGGTGTTTGCCCGTGATATTAGTAAGAAGCAAATCAATAATAAAGTATGTTGTTAGACTATAAGTTACATCAATATTTCTCTTTTAGGTGCAGGAAGGAATCAACCTGGCGTAAGACCTGGACTTCAACCAGGTAAAGGAGATTATTATAACAGCAAGAAAACAAAAATGGAAGCCATTACAAAACTACTACAACAAATAATAGCAAGAAAAAAAAACAATAGCAATGATAAATATTTCTGACAATTTAACAATAACAGCAAATTTTAACAATAACAGCAAATTCTCACATTTCAATATGGTTTGTAAGGTCAACCTGGTCAAGTCATGCCACAAATGAATATTGGTCGTCAAGCTCAAATGCATCCAGGAATAACAGCTCAACCAATAAGACAAACCTATGTCACTCAAATAAGCACACCKCCATCAATGGCAGTGTCAACCGCAAATCCTCAATACCAGCAAGGAAAACCACAAATGCAATTCAAGTCAACTTTACAGCAGCAAATGAATGCACCAACAATAACTATGACACAAGCTATGGTTAGYCAACCTCAGCAGAACTTTGCTGTTATGAGTGGTACCCAAACATTGCAGGTGCAACCACAACAACCCCAGAGCATGATGGGACCTACAGTATCATCTCACCAGCAGCATCCATCATCACAGATGAATTTATCCCACAGTCAACCATCTTTCAGCGTGTCTTCTACAGGTACTCCTCTATACTCTGCTACCTTCTGCCCTCCTTGACTCTCCTTTGCCCTCCTACTACTGTCCTCAACTCTTCCCCAATCTACTCTGCTCTTCTCCACATTACCAAACATTAAACTGCTGTAATTAAACTATGCTCTTTATAACATTACTACTCCAGTTGGGTTTAYTACAATTACAGTTGATGTTATCATTTGTTGAAGGATCCCACCCTATGCAACACCCATCACCAGTGATGCAGACTGGAAGAGCATCCAACCCTTCTCCTGCTGTTCCCACTGTTACTCCATCACCTGCCTTTAATCCTTTACATTCACCTGCACCAACAGCTCAACTTGGAATGACTCCATCACCACAGCCGGTAAGAACAGTTGTCAAGTTGTTGAATCAATTGCTGTCATGATATATGATGTTTTACCRTGTTTTATAGTTTGTGGCTCAATCACCAGCACCCCAGTCAGTACCAACACCAGGAATACCAAATGTCCAGTCACCTGCCTCAATATTGAATGGCCCAGCATCAGTTGGGCCRCCAGTTACCAGTCCTGCTCCACTAAGTGCAGCTGAAGAGCAAGCTTACTTAGAAAAGGTATAGCTCCAATATTATGATTTATTATTCTAGTCCCAGTGAATGTTATGACAAAAACATTTCACAAACCCTGATATTAAAATTAYCACTAGAATTCATTCTCAGACTTACCTTTATATTATATAGACCCACTTTTTTATTTTATTTTCAAATTCTTTGACAGTTCTTAAACTGTTACTTAAGACAGTTATCATCCTATGAATATATTGCAGCATAAACAGCTATCTATGTATATTGAACCATTGACAAGAATGATTAACAGAATGAACAGAGATCAAGGTAAAACAACTCATACTGTGAGAGCACATTATTGATTTCTACTAGCAAGTAGTATGTCTACTAATGAGCATTWGGTTGCAAGTGTGAAATACTTCATTGACTGGTATTCAAAGAAAGTTGTAGGGGAAAATACTATTCAGGTGTATAACTACACCATATTATAGTGACCAGTATATTGTAGTATAACTTGTGACATATTACTTATTTTCAAATCACTATATGTTATTTACAGAGCACAGTAAACACAGTACCAATGACCTTAAGAAGCTGAAAAACTTCTTGGACATTTTAGAAAATCCTGCAAGAAGGTAAATTGCAAAATGATTACAGCGGAAATCACTGCATCGCGACCTCTTTGTTTTGAAGTTTGTCTGGATTTTGTTCTTTCTTTCAATCTGAGGGGCGGAGCTTTTTGAAAACTTGTTCAATCATTGGCTGATTAGTATCAAGCTCCGCCCCCAAGTCTCAGAAAAACCTAAATCCCAACTATTTCCTTTGAACATCGAAGTCGCGATGCAACGGTTTCTGCTGTAAAACCAGCAAACAAATTTTATTAAATGAAAACACACATTAAGATTGATCTATTGTCTGATTGAGTGGCTGATTGACTGACAGACCAATTTGCAGGTGGATAGATGGACTGAGTAATTCTTTGTTTTTAGGGTATCCCTCAATGTTCTTGAAAGATGTGAACAAGTTTTAAAAAAATTGAATTTAAAACCACCCACAGTAAGTAGTTCATAAACTACCATTAGCTACTTCCCAACCCTACCCCCCACAGAAGGCATGTACCATTAGCTACTTCCCAACCCTACCCCCCACAGAAGGCATGTACCATTAGCTACTTCCCAACCCTACCCCCCACAGAAGGCATGTACCATTAGCTACTTCCCAACCCTACCCCCCACAGAAGGCATGTACCATTAGCTACTTCCCAACCCTACCCCCTCACAGAAGGCATGCACCACTAGCTACATCCCAATCCTAACCCCCCACAGAAATTGAATTTTAAAAGCTGACTTATGTTTTTTTTATTCAGCAGCGAACAGGAACTACAATATCTCCATCACCGAGTRCAGCTGTGCAAAGTACAACAAAATCAAGTACAACAGTCATGTCAACCACTACTAAACCATTTGCATTCCCATCAGAAGAGCAACTAAGTGGACAGGCATTGCTGGATACTGTTGTCAAACACCTCAAGTCTCCACTGTTTTCACACACACTYAAGAGAACATTTTCTCCAATAGTACAAGCCATGGAAGGCCCTCCCATATGGTACGATTACACTTGTCTTACCATTGATAAACATTTGAAGCTAACTATTTYTCAAAACTGGAATGTACAATGTAGCTAGAATGAGGCACTGTCCTTGATTGCTGCATAGTATCTACTTGATCACATAAGGGCAATGGTCAGCCAGCATATGACATCAGGTTTTGATTTTTCATACAGCTTAATCTTGAAAAGATTTACTTAATGAGTTATTCCCAGTATTTAATGAATAAATACTGTCTGATGAGTGCGTAGCATGAAACTCGGAGTCACAGCAAAWCTTGCCTCTTTGATATTAGATATATTTTGATATTTATAATTACCATTGCTTCTCAGTCCCCCTCCTCCACCAAGTAAGAAGTTGCGAGTGACTGAAATAACAACCAAGAAATGCCCATTACCTCATAYATTACAAGGAGAACTGGCTCGACTTTGTGATAGATTTACTGTCAGACCTGAAGTGGATAGTTCTAACAGTCAGAGCTCAATGTTGCTCACTTGTTCTATACGTAAGTAGTTTTTGAGTCATGTTATTTAAAGTGCATATTATGAGTTCRGWAWTTTKGSYWAWTTWWTWAWT